TGCTCCACTGCCTTGTGGATTAGAACTTTACGTCGAAGGCTCTGGGTGTGTTCCCCTAAGAAAACCATGTGCTTCCATTTGGGCACCCGGGGAGTTTCACAGCCCACACACAAATCAAGTGACTTGTGTGGTGGATATATATTCAGTGCCCTTTTGTACCAATATTTGTGTTCAAATAAAAATAAAAAAAATAATAAATCAACTTTAGCTGATGCAAAGGTCCATTATTCACTTTGTGAGCTTTATTTTCATTCTTGACTATTTATTTGTTAACTAACAAACAACTCGTTAATGCACACCCCACCCCACCTAAACTGCTACGAAACTGAAGATAGTCCGGGCCAATCAGAAAAATGGTGGATAAGTGATGTTGATGAATTCAGGCTACTGATCAAGGTTTGGCTTATTTATCCGGTGGAGAAATATATGCTATCGGCTGAAATCTGGTTCAGTAACCCAAGGAACTTTTGGCAGAAAATGTTTCGAAATTTGCTAAATCTGTATTACGTAACTAACTTAGTAAGTCACCTAGTAACAGCTTTTTTTTAAAGATTTGTTTGGTTAATAATGGTATATCAGTTTATAAAGTCCCAAGAGTCAGAATGTTCAATTCAGTCATTGTGAAACCTTTAATTATCTATTAATTCGTTGCAAATGTAATACATGGAATAGAAATAATGTTAGAAGATAGTATTGGCTACTATCGATACTTTTACGCAGTATGGTCATATAACTAATGATGGTAATTGTATTGAGTGCATTAATCGGGCGAGATGATAATTTATGAACAAACCAATCAGGTATAAGACAATAGGTCTTGAATTTTAGCACGAAATTCACCCATCCATTTGGTTCAATAGAGTTTTAGCATTATAGCTGATGTCAGCTTGTGATGAGAACCATAAATCTAATTCCTAACCTTTACCATCAACTGTAAATCATAATTTGAATTCCTCATGCTAGTTTATCACCCTTATTTCATCCTAATTATCAGGTAAACACTCTCAAGGTCACTTTAGCATTTTTCGAAGGTCGTCCATAAATTATAGTCTTACCAATAGTCATTCTAATTGTAAATCGATTGAAGTATAGTCAGTTGTTGGGGGAATTTGTTTATTATTAATGGTATTCAGTCAATTAATAAGACTTCAAGTGATCTATATTGAAATATGAAAAGAAGACCCAGAACAGAGTGGGTTGGAGAATGCTGGTCAGCGGCCTATGCTCCATTGGGAGTAACAGGCGTAAGTAAGTAAGTAAGTAATATTGAAATATGAATCAATATTCCATGTACATAAGAGAGTTACTGATTAATGTAAAATACATTGACATATTGTCATTCAATTGACATTTTAACAATAAACTATATCAGTGAATAGATTTAGACTGTGAACGTTTCGTTCAATAATTCTATTCATATACATTATTATTAATAAGTCAACATGTTTTTTGTTATATATCCCGACAAGAATTATAAATGGTAACCTTCGAGAACTATTTATGAACATATATCATAGGTATATTCTTAATGTATAACTATTCAGTAACTAGATTATGTATATCTATACTACTCTTATTACAAGCTTTATTTTGACCTATGAACTATTATGATATAATTTACCGTTCTTAAGTTATGCCCAATTTATTAATTACAGTCTACTTTATTCACAGCCACTTTTGGCTAGATCTTGTATTCTATGGTGCGATGTGGTTTGTTTGATTTGTATATAAACCCAGTATGTTTGAAATATATGATTTTATATCGTAGAGACTGAGATTGGTGTTCTGTATTTGACAGGCAGGGCTCGGCAGGAAGTAAGGACAGATAAAGACTCTAGACTGCTTGTACGAGTTTACGCGTCATTGGTCCAATCGATAAATTACTGTTCTCTAATTGGCGGTATCATTACGTGACATTGATTGGACACAAGACCAAAAGATATAGCACTTCTTAATATAATAAAATTTATTTCAGAATCCTTAGTTTTCCAAGAAGAAGTACAAGGATTACAATCATATACAGAACATTACAAGAATTTTCGGATAACACCATAATCTCAGATTGGTATTTTGATACTTTCTTCTATAAAACAGTTCCAATGTAGAATGTATGCTTAATACAATCATATAAGCAGCCAAACTCCAGTCTTCTGAAGTTTGCTGAAGCCATTGCTATCAGGCGTCAAAAATCTGACTTACCTGTTCAAAAGGAGATGATTGTTAATCTTTCCTTGCTTTGGTGACAAATATTCCTCCGTTGCATTTTAAAGTTTATTTTCTTCTTTCGTTAAACTCTTTCTTGCATTTATTACATCACTAAGTCTTTTTATTCAGACTGTCTTCCAGGTTAATAATCTTATTTTATTAACTGGGCTTTACCCATTTTATTCTTATCTGAGTTTACTCATTATGTAATCACTTGTTTCTGGCCGTTTGGACTGTTGTCACAATCAATCTTGTAGAATGTTCTTTTACATAAGGTACAATATTCAGTCTATTCAATTTATTTACACCCTTGCTATACTATACGAATATGTCTTCAATATAACTTCCAACTAAACCCTCTCATGTAAGTAATTTACAACCATTATGTAAATGCCGTTTTTAAATATCACAGGTTGTAAGCAGCTGATGAGGACAAGACGAAACCAAATGAATTCATGCTATTCTACTAGAATCTTTGTCCTTGTTCTTTTCAATCATATAATCAGCTAAATAGTTGATATTTCTATATTTTGTAGTATTTCTTAAGGTGGGTAGTTCAATTCTATCACCTTCATTGACATTCTAAACAATACTGTTACTGCATACTTCACCGTGTAACTCATTCAGAACCTTAAATTATCAACTTCTAGTTTTAATTATTAGATTGTCTTAATATTGTAGCGGTAAATAAATCCCCAAAATAAATAGCTCTAAGTTTTCGACATTGGATGCTGACCATATGTTTTAGTGGACTCATCTAGCTGAAGGCGCTCGATCATGCATCCGCACCAGATCACGTGTGGTAACGCCGTGCTCAACATCAACCGCAATCGCTAGCCAGATTAGATCAGAGAATTCCGATATATTGGTTATCGCCAAATACACTCTTCCGATCTCCTCGACTCTGTCTTTTGATTTCTCTGGGTGGGAACGAAATATATTAGGTGTTACTGGTAGAAGCGTTGTCAAACACTGAATACCTGTGACATCATCAATAACATTCATGTATTGTTTTTAATTATTTTTTATTGCTTTCATAATTCAACGTAAATGAAGTCTATGTGCCGATTGAATTGTTGGCTCACTTTTTTCTCTTATTCTTTTCTTTTTCAGATTCTCTCATACATGTTACTTCTCACACTCTCACAGCAAACAAAGTACATTCAGGTATATGCAGACATACTGAAGAGTGAATGTTACAACTTTAATCTCAAACTATCTTGAGCGTAACGCCACAGAAGAGATTATCTAAATTTTTTTCTATCAGTTGAGTTTCCACGTTTAACGATAATCTTTATTACAGATTAGTAAGGTACTGAAACATCAGTAGAAAACATGCTAAGTGTGAAGTACCTGTTGAACTCGCGCGATGGTGCCTTTACTACTGCGAGGAAGTATCTATCTGAGGTTGGTCAGTTTCTACATAGCATCAACAGGCTTTGGTGCTATGAGGTAAGAATGAGATGAGTTGTAGGATGGTAGACGAGAGGCATGATGAGAATAAAATACATAAATATGTGGAGAAATCCAACAACACAAAAAACATTGAGGCATTAATATATATATAACGTTACAACAGGGAACAGAATCACAATATATTGTCTATGATGTAAGCCAATTTCAACGCCTTCAGTCGAACCTATTTTCAGAAGTGGAAGGTTATACAACAGTTTTGTGACCTTTGATATGACTCCAATCAGGTCGTATGATGTTGCTTACAGACTCACCACGTTTGTGGCCCGATATCTAACTCCGATTATGTCATATGTGTTATCGTTTCTGATTGCCATTGAAATATACATCCTCGCTATCCTCGTATATTTCATAGACTTAAATCGCGTTAGTGTATAACGGAATTAAATAAGTCGTATACGAGAATGGATTTTTGAATACAAATATTTTGTACACTCACTGATCTGGACAGACAATTAGAGGAACAAAGCGAAGGAAGCGAACAGAACAGAGTAAAGAGTAATGACGCACAGTGGAGATGGCGGGTAAGCCAACTCCCTTTTAGTCAAGCACTAAGCAATATTTATAGTCACACAAAAATAAGTTGCGGACATATGGTGAATAGGATAAGAAGTGCATACACCATACGCTCATATAAAAACAATCAACGTTGATAAGTGAATAATTAACAAGGTCAAAACATGGCTCAAGTAGAATGGATAAATTGGCCTGTTCAGAAGCTAGAATAAGGTATATGGGCCTAACATAGTAACCTACACTACAACAGAACCAAAAGCGCAAAATCAAGTCAGTGTGAAATTCGATCAGCATGAGATTTCAAATATATGTTCACACATTAGAATATTAATTAACTGATGAAAAATACTACCCATTTAAAATTATGTAAGTCTGACTGCTAATCTTGAGAGGATATAAAGGAAGTTCTATTGAGAAACTGTCTCTAGTAAAGTTCAACCTTATGGGATATGAGACAGTAACCCATTATAATAATTAGTGGCAGATGATCGCGCAACATCACAAATTGATAAACATTAAACTCAAGAACCGTCAGATAAAACCTCACCAATCTAAAAGTCAAGGTCTCGTCACTAAACCAGAGAATTTGAGTCGGAATCCCGCTCGAGTCATGGTTACCTAGTCTTCACTAACTGATTAATCAAAGCTGATTCCGTTAAAAGATCTAAAACATTGTAAACGTATTGAGCACATTATCAGTCGAGTTTTGTACCACTATAATTATCATTATTATTGCTATCCTCATTAACATAATCAAAAGTACAAATTTATATACCTTCATGTGACATCATCATTATTTCCATTCACTTATGTTTCTTAAATCAAAACGACACACAATCACATAAACACACACACATTTCGATCATCAACATCAACTGATTAACTGTAGTAGTAACTAACCAATAAAAAATTACTACTCTAGGTTAATTATATGGTTTTGTTGAGTAGGTGTAAATCAGTAATATTAGTAGGCCTATATAAATTACAACTTCCAACAACTATTTCTTATTAACACAAACAAACAAAATTCATATCGATTTACAGTTGATGTACTGAACAGTTCAGTGGATTATTATTCGCCATATTCAAACAATACTAATCACAGTCAACAGTAGTAACAATGATCATTGAATTACGTCGTTTGGGTGTTAGTCTGTTATGCTTAGCAGTGGGTCTGAGTATTGCATCGTTGGTAACAAGTCTTTGGGATTGTGGAAATTTATTCTCAGGATGTCAGAATACTGTTCATAAGGAGACTGTATCAGCTGTTGCTGGCTTAATCATTTTAGGCACTGTATGCCTATTAGTCATCATCTTATTGGACGCCATTGCACTGTGTTCAGATGTATTCGCCTCACGTGCTGCTTATACAACTGTACGTTTCATCATATTATACTTGGGTGCTGCAGCTCTCTTGATTGGCATATTAGTGTACACATCATTGGTCGGACATCATTGGTCATACTTCTTCGCAGTGACTGGAGCTGTACTAGCAACACAAGTGGCTATATTGGCAATCATGTCGTCAAAATGTGTTACCGTTCGAACCACTACAACAACGAGAACAATTCGAGAAAGTCGTTTGGCACATCGGTAAACCAATGACCAATTCATTTATTATGCTTTGAAACATTCAACCAATTTCCCACATTTTATCCTTTCTCTCATTCATGATCATTCTATTTCTCTTGTGACTAATTTAGCTTGTAGTGACTCACATTTATCACGAGAACACGACTGGTTTAATAAAAACAATTATTATTATAACCAAGTGTACCAGTGACTGTTTTAATGTGCTTTTGTTTGACTGTGCTAATGACAGCTATTTTGTGCTTCCATTCTTGTACTTACACTTTGATTGTAACTTCGCGCGAATTCGGTTACCTTCTGTAACCAAGGTTGTATCCTGGCACGATCTCGGTATCCTTTCGATGCCACGAGATCGCCAGCTAATAAACCTCGACTTGGTCCATTAATTGCCTTCTGTTTGGTTGAATACTCGAAATACACTGCATTATTCTAGTTTTCACGTGATAACATCATATCAATCGACAATGATGACAAGAACTCGGTTAAATCACATAGTTTGTGTTCATTTATTTTGAGTTCGGTGGTCTTATTAGATGAAGGTTGGTCATTTGAATAATCGATGTATAGAATTTTGTGGGTTAACCCTCATTCATCTGTTTCATCTCATTTTCATTGCCTTCAACAGTGTGTGGCTTCCATAATTCAGATACTTTCACAAATTAGAATAAATCTGTACCATGAGTACTGTCAATCGATGTTCTTCACAAATACAAAACACGAAGGATGTATAGACTAGGGAATAAATAACACAGATTGATTTTTAGTGCTGCTTAAACAGGGGATCATTTGTAACCATTGTGTATCGATTATCGAGATGAATGTTCTGAGTGATTGTTGTTTGGAATTGTCAAGTCGAATGAATAGGATGCTGATCGACTGATTTTATGTGATAATCCGATATAGTCGAGTGTTGGATGTTAACGAGATCAAATTGTTGATTTATTGAATGAACGAGTAAGCCGATATCAAACCGAGATCACTAACCAGAACAATAGATTGCTTATCGAACAAAATAACGTGTCAGTGTGCAAGTTATTAGCAGGAACATAGGCATGTTTATGTGTTGAGAGGGATTGGAAGAAGTCAGTTCTGTGTATCACTCACTGTGTAGTCATCAAATGAGACGTGATTATTAGGGCTAACGACTACCTATCATGTCAATTTCTGACTGATTATTCTGTATCTGCAACTGATTAGAATACTTGGAATAAATCGTGTTAACGTGATCTGTTCAATCGGAATTAACATCACATCGGTTTGAAAGTAGACAGATGCCAATCATTTAGAAGTGATGCAAAACGAACTGTTATGAATTTGGGACCAAACATTTTTATCGAAGTGCCTACTCAATCTAATAGAAACACTGTGTGAACTGTCGTAGAGAGGGATAAATTAAACATACTCCCCAGATAATCCACTTAACAAATAAAGTGCCAGAGCTCATAGTCACAATACGAATCACTTGATTAGCTAGTTAGCAATTAATCGACAATCACCTAAACAACGATTGTATTCAGTATTGAGTGATTGCAGTTGGCCGGTATGGTGACTCAGTTCTATGTGATGGTGGAGATAAACAGATACAACTAGATCACTACAGGAGTAGCAATCTACCCTAGTGATTAATCTTTATGTGGGAATAGGATATTGTAGTGTGACACATTACAGACGGAAAAACGATTTCACATTCATACTCTGTAACTCTTGTGCATCAATGATCTATGCAAATATGTTATAACAAAAAGCACTACTCAGTAAGATGAGAATTGTATTTGAATGTCCACCACTTTGACGAACATTGAGAATGACCGGATTTAGTCTTATGGAATTTGAATTTCTACCAGTTGATCACAGATTTCCCTATACGTGTTCATTTAATATTAGTGATACTAAGGAATGTGTCCAACCTAATTACATGAGGTAAGACACAGGTTTTACTATTTGTCAGTTGTACAAGCCAATAATATCCTTCCGACATTTAGTTCTTAGATTATGATGAATCAACTTTTGATGTCTAACCATTTCACAGTCACTTGTGGTCGATGATAACTTATCTGGAAACAAACCTCTTAGGAATTTGCAAATGATTTCATCAAAGAACAGGTAATTCAGCAGATGAATTCATTTCAACAAGTTTATTTCCAAACTTGTACGTTTGCACATGTACATTGTATTTGAAGTACATCAACAAACTCTGTTTCTAGAATTTTTTGATGGTGGCTCATCGTGAAATTCATGAGCCGATTTCTATCATGTTTGAGGCTCACCAGATAGATATACATGTATGTGTGTATGCACTAGAATTCTAAGTGGTATCTCTATAATCTATTCAACAATCGAATGAAAGAGGAAATGTGAGAGAATGCAGTCCTGCGTGACACTTATCTTTATTTGGAATGCATCTGTTAACTGCCATTCATGCAAGACTATGCAATTGAGTCCCTGTTCGGATTCGTGTAATATGATGTCTGTGTTCTCAGATAGTTCATAGTTTCGAAGAAGATTTCACAATGTTCTCCTATCCGCACTGTCCAATTCATCCTTATAATCAAGTGAAAATAAGGAATAGTTTATAAATGCAAAGGTATAATATAACAATGCAGAGGAATGATAAAAATTGTGTAATAGCAACAGACTGTTTTTAATACATACATTGATGGACGGTTAACGCTTATGACATTTAAATTAAGTTTTGATGTATTCCCCTTGAAACATTTAACTTAACTTTTTCAGAAATATATCATAATGATGAATTTTTGAGGGTAAATATCTTGATATTACTACATATTGCAGACTGGAAAATGTAATTGTTGTATAATATGCTCCACTAAACCATCCTTATCGTTTTCCGTAAACACATAGGAAATAAGGTGTCGAGAAACTGTAGTGAAGGAGAACACATCCAAGCGGTCGATTGTATTCCGTGCTTTCCCTCAGATATAGAGTTTTTCATAATCCAATGAACCACCAGAAGAAAGGGAAAAGCAAGAGAGAGAGAAAAATAGTAAGCAGCCTTGTCCAACACCGACCTTCACACATAATATTTCTATGAGCTACCGTTTATTCATGAAAAATTATGCAATATATTGAAATAACATGAATTAAGTAAGATCAAAATAATAAATGGTGTGATTATTAAACAAACTGTTAGAATATATAATAAATTTACCAATAATAGTGATGATAGGGTAAGTTTTTATTGTTGTTGTTGATTCCTTAAGTCGTAATAGATTTGACCTTCTATAGGAACTTAAACAGTACCTATTCTAATATGGGATTTCTTAACATTATACAGGAGGAACTACTCTTTCAGATATTAAACTTACCACCCTTTCCTAAAACTAAAATCAATCAATATTAGTTAGTAATACAATGTAGAACTCTTTTATTTGAATGTAATATAAATACCAATATTGATATTTAAATGAGGGCTCGAACCTAACAAAATCTCTGTATACTCATATACTCATATGCATATTTATTCATTATGCTTCTAATTGTAATAATACTACTTTATATGTACTGAATAAAGGTGGTATATATATATATAGATATAGAGTAGAAAGAAAGAAATAAAGAAAGAAAGGTTATTTATAGTGACAGTGAACTATTTAACATATTTATTGAATACATGCATATTTTTACATGTCATTATTGTGATTCAGATCACTAAATGATTATACAATACTCATAATAATAATCATAATAAGCATTACTATTTTAGGTTATAAACGTGACTGAATTTATTCTTGTTTATTCGTTAAGTAATAAATTTCAGGTTATGAATTTTTATATATTTGCATATGTGTATTTATAGAAAGAGTTTGCAATATGAATATTCATAGATAATTAGAAGCTGTAATGGTAAATAAATCCTCGAAATCAATAACTCTGTAAGTTTTCAATATTGGATGCTGACCATGTTAGTTTTAATGAAGTCATTTAGATGAAAACTCTTGGTCATGCATCTGTATCAGATCGCGAGTGGGAACATCGTGATCAACATCTTCTGCAATTGCTAACCAGACTAGATCAGTCGATTCTATCGAGTACGATTTATAGTAGAAGGTGTTACTAGTTAAAGCATTGTCAAACATGTTACTTACTTACTTACGCCTGTTACCCCCTTTGGAGCATAGGACGTCAACCAGCATTCTCCAACTCACTCTGTCCTCGGCCTTCCTTTCCAGTTCTATCCCAATTTTGTTCATTCTTCTCATGTCTGTCTCTATTCCTCAGTGTAATGTATTTTTTGGTCTCGAGAATTCCATGTGAGGGCTTGCTTTGTGACATTTGGGTGCTTTCCTCAATGTGTGTCCTAGCCTCTTACAGCACTTCTTCCTGATTTTTTCCTTCAGTGAGATCTGTTTTGTTCGCTCCCATAGTAGGTTGTTGCCATTAGTGTCTGGCCAATGGATTCGAAGTATTTTGCGTAGACAACTGTTAATAAACACCTGTATTTTCTAGATGATGGCTTTCGTAGTTCTCCAGGTTTCCGCCCCATACAGTAGAACTGTCTTGACATTTGTATTGAAAATCCTGAATTTGGTGTTGGTTGACAGACATTTGTTTTGAGTTCCAGTTGCAAATTTGTTTCTCTTGCTTTGCCGATCCTCTTCGAGTTCCAAATACCTGTAGCATCTTCAGCTATTTAGATATTAGAGTGTAGTGGTTTTGTTTCGTTAATTGATCACCTCAATAATCGTTTTAATATAAATCTCAACGGTGATTAAAATTAGAAGGTAATGAGAGACGACAACTACAGTTTTCTTAGCTCATAGTGCAGATCATCAAGCTATAAGCACATCGAACCTATTTGAAACCGAGAGGCGAATAAGTATATGTGAGCAATTATATAGACAAATTTATATTCAAGTTGCATAATGGCGCAGCAAGGTAAAGCAAGGGACGAATAATAGGGTTTAAGTACATATATACAGGGGGAGGAGAATAAACTATCAAGTGTTGTCTAAGCAATCAACCTTTTAAATAGAGTCTGTCATTTGCCCTAGTGATCATAACGCTATAAAGAAATATGCGAATTGTTACTATTCAAATAACATTGTCTGTTAAGTAAGTTGATAAAATAGCTTAACCAAAGTTAACCATGATCGAAATTGATTGTAGGATAACTGCTATAAGAGACTGATCACCTGAGAATTACATTGTTGTAAAGATTTAACATGGATTATACAAACATTATGTTTGAACTATTCTTGTTTCGAATTAGGAGTTGAATATAGCTAACTGGTTATGCTACACAGTTAATTGATTCATTGTTCTGGGTTTTTTTCAAAGATTCCAGTAATACAAAAAGAAAGAGAATCGAAGTGTTGATAGATATTTCATATGAAATTCGGAATCCCAAGTGGTTCGGAGTAATCATCAGGGAACTCTGTTTTACCTCAGTTCTAACTTAGTTACCACTTGTCAAAAATGTATATTGAGAATCTCGGAGGAACTGGTAGGTGTCATAGTTTCGAAATCCAGGTTCAGGATTTTATATGAACTAGGTTCAACTAGTCAATATCAAAACGAAATACAGGCAGTGCAGTTGCATTAGTGGTGAAATTGCGACTTGGTCGATGGAACTATATCATCAATAAACAATGAATAAATATGATGTTTACTCGTCAGTGATTCATGAATGTAAAATTTGAAATTCTGGTTTATAATACAATAGGATTTTTGTAACTACCCGTAAGTGATCTCAGGAATAAAGTTTATTTTACAAATCATGAGATAACAGTTTTTAATGAAAATCGAAACTAATTGTATCATTGGAAGACAGTCCTTTATGAAGTGTGACAAATGAGCTGAAATTTTATTGACATTACATGTATGACAGATTTATAGTTCTAAAAAATAAGGTCAAACCACAGGACATATATATTAGGAACGATTAATAGAATTCATCATTCGGTCACTTTGAGAAAGAAAGAAAGAAAAAAAGAGAAAACTTCAGTACCATCGCCTTTCTACAAACCTCAGTGATGAGGATTCATGACAAGATTATACTAGGTCTTTATTGTTTACAATATAAGCAAAATTCAATAAGACATCTGGTTCTTAACCCTAAACGTTTTTGTTTAGAATGCATATTAGAAAAGGAACTGAAGTTTCGCTTTGATTTAGTGAATAATGACGAATATTCGTCAAAGTTCCTAGTGAAACATATCCATAAAACTCTCTTCAGGGATAAATTCAGTGAATTTGTCATATGATCTACAGGAATAAATAATCAAAACAGAAAGGTTATGTTCTTCTTTCTTCGATCAATTAGTAGTTAGTTCACTAGATAAAGATAAATTACCCAGTTTTGCCACCTCTACATGTATTTACTAGTTCAACTACTCCTGAATAGTCAGTTATACTTTGCATATAAACAAGTAAATACATCATCGTATTTTTACACATCACCCCTCATGATTGAACAAAAGACAAGATAAAACAGTAGAAAGCTCTCTTTTGATAAATCTAGTCAATACTAGCCACTGAAACGATATAATTTTAGCTTTTAAAGTTACATATAGTGTATTCCTTTTAATCTATCCTGGTCTTCCTTCTAGTTATACTTATACTCCATGAAATTTTTTTCAGTTTTACACAAATTTCAATCAGATTTTATTCTTATTCAATTCCACTGGTTGAAATCATGAGCCAATTGAAGCTAGACCACCATGGAAAACCTGGAAGCAGTGAATGGCCGTTTCGTTCTAGTATGGGACTCCTCAGCAGTGCGCATCCACGATCCTGCACCCCTCGAGACTCGAGCCCAGGACCTATCAGTCTCGCGCGTGACCGCTTAACCTCGAGATCACTGAGCCGCTATCCAAAGGTTTTAATTTGTAACCTGAGTGTCGCGAGGGGCGGGATGGTGGATACGCGCTGCTGAGGAGTCCGATACTAGGACGAAACGGCCGTTCAGTACTTCCAGGTTTTCCATGGTTGTCTAGTTTCAATTGACTCATGATTTCAACCTGTGAAATTTCTAAAACTCTCCACAAAACCCATTCTGATAAAAATGATGACTGTTTTTTTCTTCATCAGAAATTTGAATTAGACAAGTTGTGTTATGATTTCTCGGTACTACTGAATATACATTACGTTGTTATACCATACACTCAGAAACTAATCAAAAACTCATCTTAATGTTCTTTTCCCGTTCTAATTTCGATATAGAAATATCATAATTGAATGAACATAATGCAAAACAATACATTAACCATTTAAAAAATAAATACAATTGCATAACCATTGAATTCCATCAAATATACAAGAAGATAAATTAATCACAAAATGAAGAGAAAAAAAAAAGAGAAGAATGATAATAACAGAAACAAGAGCATAAACAAACATTGTTTCAATAGTTAAGTGAATAAAAATTGATCCCTTCTCACTTTTTATATAGTTTCATTGATTTTCAATAAAGTTCCTTTAATACGTTTTGTTTCTATAATCTTCTGTATTAATACATGGAGATGACATAAATGATAATATAACTACCACTGTTATTAATACAGCACCAACAACTGCACAAAAATATGACCAATTGTGTTCAATGAATATGGTATATAATAAAACACTAATTAATAAAGCTATAGCACATAAAATTAATAATACGAAACGAAGAATTAAATAAGTAATATGTGAAGAGAATTTCATTGAACATAAACTAATTATATCTAAGATAATAATGAATAAAATACAAAAACATCCTAAAATCAATAATCCAATCATTGATAATATAATCACTTTATAATCCATATCTTGACATGATAAGAATAGATGACCACAAATCCAATAATCTGTGCATAATGATGTAATACATAAACCCAATGTTATAATTAATAGAATAATACAAAAAATATATTGGTGATTGATCATTGATAAGATTGTGAATTATGAATAGTATTGATTAAAGAAGAGGAGGAGGAAGAAGAAGAACAACGACAACAACAACGTAGTATAATCCACTGAACTCTCCGTACACCTACTATAAATCAATAATAGTTTTGTCGATTATGTTAACTGTTAAAGGTGTAATATTATATATATATATACATATAAGTCTACTGTCAACTGATTTACACCTACTCAACAACAATAACAACAATGAAAAAGACATTTAATTATGTTGAATAATAATTATTCATTGGTCATTTATTATAACCAGATGATGTCGATCAAATTTGAGCGTGTATTTTCGATTTTATTCATAAAAGCGAGTGGAAATAGAGATATTGCATGGAAATATACAAAGGGGGTACTTTTGATCATGATAATAATACTAATAATATCAAACTTAATTGATTGGTTATATTCATCTTTTGAAAAGTTTTTAATCATTATTGATTAATAATAATAATAATAATAATAATAATAATAATAATAATAATAATAATAATAATAATAGTAATAATAATGTTTCTTCATTGAATGCTTCACTCTGCATATGAATCTTATTATTATTACTATTAACTTTATTCAGTATTATATTTTTGCTACAATATAAACTTCTCAGCACAAAGTATTTCAACAAGTTTTCTTTTGATCGAGATCATGAACCGATTGATGTTAGACCACCTTTGGAAATCTAGAAACACTGGAAGGCCGTTTCGTCCTACTGTGGGACTCCTCAGTAGTGTGCGAACGCTTAACCTACTCAGTGAGTTGGCATCCAATGGTGATAGTGTCTAGCATCTTTTTTTATTTCTTGATCGATCCTGACGATAAATTTTAAGTGGTTGCTAGTTAGATATTAACAGTTCAAGAATTGGCATTTGAATAATGTTCATTCTTTTCAATGCATATTACTAGCAACCACACATGTCTCTAATTGAGCTCTATTGTAACTTGTACAGCGAAATGTTGTAAATTTTTCACAAACGTACCTGAATAGGTTATGTAACTAATAGGCATAACGATGTGTTAAAACAAAGAAGAAACAGATAACTTGTTGAAATAGCCAGATGGTAGGGACAGTTAACCCAGATATTCAAGTAGGCAGCCTTGGTTATTTCTATTTGTCCATCAAATCAATTGTATGTGATTTAATGCGGTAAAGTAAATTATGTGAGTTAGACAACATGTAAACTATGATTTCATTATATAACTTATAGGAAGTCAGTTGATTCTTAACAGTAGGTTTTTCTATTTTATCAAGTAACTCTGTAATTTTGTACTAAATATAATCGGTTATTATCACTCGGGTTTTCCTTCACTACAGTCTGAGTGAGATAAAAAAACATTTATGTAAGCCGTTCAGTAACCCTCTCATTTGACCAGCTCCTTGTGCATTGATTAATTCACTTTTCATATGGAGTCGGGTACATAGGTCATTCGATAAGCATTTTTATCCAAAAGAATTTAAGAACATTACTTAACCTGGTTGTAAAAGAGAAGGAAATGACCAAATAAGAAGCTTTATAATCAAACACCTTGTGAACACAAGTCACTCAATCAAAACAGACTCTGCATCATTTACAAGGTAGATAGAAAGCTGCTGAAGGCAGTTAGTTTCTGTCTTCTTATCAGTGCCGAATTGTTTGCTGTAAATTTTGAAACACTAGAATTATACGTAGAAAAGAAACTGGTACAACCTCGTCTTCTACCATGATCTTAATCTCTTATAATTTTTTTCTTCTTTCACAGTCATCTGCTTCCCTTCTACCTTCTTAATAGACGTTTTACTCCTAACTGTTACCATGATCCTTCGGACTACATCTCATCTCGATGTTAACATTTTATCTTATCACACCAGGCTTTCCCTTTCCAATAATTTTTTATCTATATTCAGGTTTTAAATAACAAAATTATCATTAGTTCCCGTAATTAAAATAACATTTTTAACCCTTTATTTATTTTACTATGCGACACACAATCGTAGACCATGATAAACACAGAGAATGAACATACCTTTTTTAAAATATAGAAGTTCACTTTCTTGGAGTTGGTCTCGATAACTTCAGCTATATAGTGGAGAGAATAACCTTATTGCTTAGATAGATTATTCACGACTTGATATAAACAACTGTTCACTTGAATACTATTTGTTTTTGAACCACCCAGTTCAGTTTGTGTAGTCAATTAGCTTTCATAAACAAATATGTAGCTCAGCGCTAACCTCGTAAACCTGTATTTGGTAAGTGAGTCATATCGATTTTCTAAGTCCCTAATTTAGTATATAAATTTGAAACGTCCATAGCCTCATCTATCGTATTCCTTTCCATTTTACTAAGTAGATCCGAAGTTGTCTTTTATACGTAGAAAAGACTATTATATACTAGCTTGTGCATTCTTTAACTATATTCGTATTCCTTATGACCTGAACTGAACTGTTGCTATAAAAAAGCTTTAGTTTATTCCAATCTAATAAGCTTACTTTCGAAATCGTTCACTATTCAAAACTCCTCGAAAAAAAACCAAAAAGAGGCTCTGAAAACATTGAGAGGCATCTTATCCAATCAGCATTCACTAGAAGTTTTGCCGGAAACAGCTAGAAAGTGGAAGGTCACATGTCGAGTTTCTGATTAGATGATTACTTGTACTGCTACTGTGTTTAGTAGCATTCCAGAATTTTCGGGAAACCCAAGGACATCTAAGATACTATAAAACCCTAGATTTTCTGTACATAAACGAACCTTTAGAGTAAAGTGTTTTTTACATATTTCGCACGTTTCCTCTCGTGTTCAAGTTGCTGTGTAGATCTGGTCTGGGGGGTTACCAGAAGAGCGTAGGAACTGAATCTAGCGTTCAATTAGAAGATTTATCAGTTCTATAGTTTACAAAAAAAATTTTTCAAAAAGTTAACAGTACAATCTCTCATATGACAAAATTCACGTTTCCATTTTTCTGTGTTTCTGAAGTTGGTAATAAGTGTATAAAGTAATTGGGTATTGTCTACTTGAATCTTCCCATTGATGTTTATTACTGAAATTGATCAGTAGCTAAGTGGATAACGCGATGGCGTTTGACGTGAACGATACTGAGTTCGACTGTTGGAGTGAACATGAACTCTGAGATGCAGTTACATTCAGCTGACGAGTCCGATGTAGGACGAAACACGCGTCCTGGATTCCACTGCTAGCCACTATCCATCTTTTCTTATAAATGTGACCATGATGCAACTGGATATTAATTGGCCAAACTGATTGATTTGCAAGATTATTTACATTTGAAAATCATCAGATAGACTGAAACAAATTTTTCTACAGAAATACTCAAGGTTGTTTTTTACTATTTTATTGCTAATAAATAGTATGTGACTGATATTATTTATTAACACATTTCACTGTCAATAACTACGAAATATGTTTCACGTGTTTTGTCTCATTTTGCACATCATATGAATATATATAGTCATTTTTCGGTTGGTTGGAGGTAGTCGACATGACGATCTGAACCAAGGTTTTTTGTTAACTGGAATTTATCAGCAAGACATACTTGGGATATCAATGGAACTGATACTCCTCATTGGATTCGAATCAGTGTCAACTATCTTTGAATTCTGAGACACTACTACTGATCTATTCAGTTCATGACTAACCTCCTGTAGGGCTGAGGTGTTTATATGAATACTTTATGTATGTACTAACATTTAGACAGAAGGGTTTTATATTCCGTCAATTTGTTTGTGATAGCGAAATGAATAGGTCGGTGTTAGAATCTTCCTGAAAGTGATACACCAATATAATTTTACTCCATTTGAACACTGATACAATGTATAAATAACAATGATATAACTTTGAGTGAATAATAAATAGTCATCCTATTAGTTGCTTTCAATAACTCAAAATAGCATAGAGCCAGTTATCAATACTTACAACAGTTTATTTATTATTTCGATTACAGTGAGTAACCAGTTTATTAGAAGACGTTTATCTATAAATTATACTCTACAGAAGTTTGTTTCAAACTGCATAACTCAATGAATATAAGAACCTTTCACTTAAGTACAAAATTTCGATTTGTTTATCCAATTAGTTAAACACTTTTAAACGAATGAATTAGGGTTAAATTTATTTGCGCATACTACCTCAAAATGATTGTTTATTGATCTGCATAATTTAAACAGTAGCAGGCACAAAGTTATTGAGGTGCTCTCGGTTTTCGCCTTCCTCCTCAAGTCGTACAGATCCCAATTCCCCTCTGTTTTAAGCACCGTTTTCCTACAAAAGCGTTCGCGAGAAACTGTATGGGTTTCATCTGACCCGGCTACAGAGAACCAGATTAATCACATCTTGATGAATAAAAATTGCGGAATGTCTACAGGAGGCATGAGAACAAAGGGAGGAGCTGATGTAGCTTCAGATCACCACCAGGAGCAAAAGAAGCACTAAATAATTCAACAGACAACACTGTAAAAGTACGGTACAACCTAGACCTGGTGGGTACAGAACTCATAAGAGCCCTTAGATAGATTAGACTCAATGAATCCACCCAACATCGAACCACCGCACACAGTTTTCTTTAAAAACGATAAACCACCAACAGTGGAAGAAATCGGTAGGGACATCAGACAGATATGAAATGGTAACGCAACAGAACCAGACAACGTACAAGCTGAAACTCTGAAGTTAGATATAGGGATAACTACAAAGATGTTCCACGTTATCATCACAACAATTTGTGAGTGAGGAAAAGTACTCACGAACTGGAAGATGAAATATTTCATCAATAAACCAAAGGAAGATCTTAGTAACTGTGAGGACTGCAGAGGCATGAAGAGTCTATCAGCACTACAGAAACTTTTAGACAGAGTGCTACTTAATCGCGTAAAAAATTTAGTAGATTCCGAACTTCAGGATCAATGAACTGACTTTCGGGAGGATGGCTTATGTATCGACCAAATAGCAATAATGTACGTCATTATTGAACAATGGATCGAAATGAACTCATCTCTCTAAACTAACTCCCTTGATTATAAGGATGAATTAGACATTGCGGATAGAAGAACATTGTGAAATCTTTCTTGAAACCATGAACTATCTGAGAACACAGACATCATATTACACGAATACGAACAGGGACTCAATTGCATAGTCTTGCATGAATGGCAGTTAACAGATGCATTTCAAATAAAGATAAGTGTCACGCAGGACTGCATTCTCTCACATTTCCTCTTTCATTCGATTGTTGAATGGATTATAGAGATACCACTTAGAATTCTAGTGCATACACACATACATGTATATCTATCTGGTGAGCCTCAAACATGATAGAAATCGGCTCATGAATTTCACGATGAGCCACCATCAAAAAATTCTAGAAACAGAGTTTGTTGATGTACTTCAGATACAATGTACATGTGCAAACGTACAAGTTTGGAAATAAACTTGTTGAAATGAATTCATCTGCTGAATTACCTGTTCTTTGATGAAATCATTTGCAAATTCCTAAGAGGTTTGTTTCCAGATAAATTATCATCGACCACAAGTGAATGTGAAATGGTTAGATATCAAAAGTTGATTCATCATAATCTAAGAACTAAATGTCGGAAGGATATTATTGGCTTGTACAACTGACAAATAGTAAAACCTGTGTCTTACCTCATGTAATTAGGTTGGACACATTTCTTAGTATCACTAATATTAAATGAACACGTGTAGGGAAATCTGTGATCAACTGGTAGAAATTCAAATTCCATAAGACTAAATCCGGTCATTCTCAATGTTCGTCAAAGTGGTGGCCATTCAAATACAATTCTCATCTTACTGAGTAGTGCTTTTTGTTATAACATATTTGCATAGATCATTGATGCACAAGAGTTACAGAGTATGAATGTGAAATCGTTTTTCCGTCTGTAATGTGTCACACTACAATATCCTATTCCCACATAAAGATTAATCACTAGGGTAGATTGCTACTCCTGTAGTGATCTAGTTGTATCTGTTTATCTCCACCATCACATAGAACTGAGTCACCATACCGGCCAACTGCAATCACTCAATACTGAGTACAATCGTTGTTTAGGTGATTGTCGATTAATTGCTAACTAGCTAATCAAGTGATTCGTATTGTGACTATGAGCTCTGGCACTTTATTTGTTAAGTGGATTATCTGGGGAGTATGTTTAATTTATCCCTCTCTACGACAGTTCACACAGTGTTTCTATTAGATTGAGTAGGCACTTCAATAAAAATGTTTGGTCCCAAATTCATAACAGTTCGTTTTGCATCACTTCTAAATGATTGGCATCTGTCTACTTTCAAACCGATGTGATGTTAATTCCGATTGAACAGATCACGTTAACACGATTTATTCCAAGTATTCTAATCAGTTGCAGATACAGAATAATCAGTCAGAAATTGACATGATAGGTAGTCGTTAGCCCTAATAATCACGTCTCATTTGATGACTACACAGTGAGTGATACACAGAACTGACTTCTTCCAATCCCTCTCAACACATAAACATGTCTATGTTCCTGCTAATAACTTGCACACTGACACGTTATTTTGTTCGATAAGCAATCTATTGTTCTGGTTAGTGATCTCGGCTTGATATCGGCTTACTCGTTCATTCAATAAATCAACAATTTGATCTCGTTAACATCCAACACTCGACTATATCGGATTATCACATAAAATCAGTCGATCGGCATCCTATTCATTCGACTTGACAATTCCAAACAACAATCACTCAGAACATTCATCTCGATAATCGATACACAATGGTTACAAATGATCCCCTGTTTAAGCAGCACTAAAAATCAATCTGTGTTATTTATTCCCTAGTCTATACATCCTTCGTGTTTCGTATTTGTGAAGAACATCGATTGACAGTACTCATGGTACAGATTTATTCTAATTTGTGAAAGTATCTGAATTATGGAAGCCACACACTGTTGAAGGCAATGAAAGTGAGATGAAACAGATGAATGAGGGTTAACCCACAAAATTCTATACATAAATTATTCAAATGACCAACCTTCATCTAATAAGACCACCGAACTCAAAATAAATGAACACAAACTATGTGATTTAACCGAGTTCTTGTCATCATTGTCGATTGATATGATGTTATCACGTGAAAACTAGAATAATGCAGTGTATTTCGAGTATTCAACCAAACATGAAACATAACACTGACACTGACCGATAGTATCCTGGTGAAGAAGTGGCAGATTCATTTTAATCGTACACTGAATGCCCAATAAAACTTCGTTTCAGTGATCTTGTCGATTACAATGTTTATATATCAATATGATATTTAAATTAGAAAAACACGCAGTAAAGCAATCATTGGACATGTAACAACACAACATGCACATTGAATACTGTCAAATATACAATACAATACAATACAATACAATACAATACAATACAATAGATGTTATTGCTTTAGCTAAATTAGTCACAAGAGAAATAGAATGATCATGAATGAGAGAAAGGATAAAATGTGGGAAATTGGTTGAATGTTTCAAAGCAAAATAAACGAATTGGTCATTGGTTTACCGATGTGCCAAACGACTTTCTCGAATTGTTCTCGTTGTTGTAGTGGTTCGAACGGTGACACATTTTGACAACATAATTGCCAATATAGCCACTTGTGTTGCTAGTACAGCTCCAGTCACTGCGAAGAAGTATGACCAATGATGTCCGACCAATGATGTGTACACTAATATGCCAATCAAGAGAGCTGCAGCACCCAAGTATAATATGATGAAACGTACAGTTGTATAAGCAGCACGTGAGGCGAATACATCCGAACACAGTGCAATGGCGTCCAATAAGATGATGACTAATAGGCATACAGTGCCTAAAATGATTAAGCCAGCAACAGCTGATACAGTCTCCTTATGAACAGTATTCTGACATCCTGAGAATAAATTTCCACAATCCCAAAGACTTGTTACCAACGATGCAATACTCAGACCCACTGCTAAGCATAACAGACTAACACCCAAACGACGTAATTCAATGATCATTGTTACTACTGTTGACCGTGATTAGTATTGTTTGAATATGGCGAATAATAATCCACTGAACTGTTCAGTACACCAACTGTAAATCGATATGAATTTTGTTTGTTTGTGTTAATAAGAAATAGTTGTTGGAAGTTGTAATTTATATAGGCCTACTAATATTACTGATTTACACCTACTCAACAAAACCATATAATTAACCTAGAGTAGTAATTTTTTATTGGTTAGTTACTACTACAGTTAATCAGTTGATGTTGATGATCGAAATGTGTGTGTGTTTATGTGATTGTGTGTAGTTTTGATTTAAGAAACATAAGTGAATGGAAATAATGATGATGATGATGATGATGATGATGATGATGATGATGATGATGATGATGATGTCACATGAAGGTATATAAATTTGTACTTTTAACAATGGGATTATAATAATGATAATTCAAAAACTCACTTTCTTAATTCTATTCATTGGATGGAAACATCTAGGTATTCAATCTTTGTTTCTCTTCATTGTATTTTTTCTATTCATTCAAGTAATCCTCATCGAATAGATTTAGTATATCAATTTCATATTCATTTGTATACTGTATTATAGTGATATTATAATTTATGAACTGATCTTTAAATGATACTAAACTGCCCTTTATAATGTTCACTTTAACTTATTCGGGCTAAATGATCATTGTAAACCAAATTGAACAATAAGGATTATCATTTATAGTTGGTGATTAAGGTTTTAAAAAAAATTAGAAATAATGGTTTTCATGACAATCTGACATCAGCTAAAATGCTAAAACATAATTTAAATGAATGAATTTCGCGCCAAATATCAAAGACTTTTTATTTTAAATCTGATTGGTTTGTCTAGAAATTATAGTCTCATCGAATATTTTTAGGCAAAGTTGACGTCATCTGACTCTAATGCATTTTTGACCTTGAATTTTTATTGATTAATTTTATGAAGATTATCTCCCTTTCTTTTATTATGAAGGTGTCTACACATATATATTAGTGGTTTGTCAATTTCTGATCAAATTTTTCAAGGAATATACATCCTTGACAATATTGATCAATACATCTTTAATCTTCTAGGTCATAAAGGAAAACTTAGAAACGTGATTGGTTAGTTTATAATGAAGTCTTCTTTATGTGTCAAATGGATATTTTAATCAGTGAATTCAATAATTAATGAATATTAGAACACCATTGTAAATCTGAAAGCACTGGATGGCCGTTTCATCCTAGTACGGGACTCTTCAACAATACACGTCCACAATCCTGTACACAGGATTTGAACTCATGACCTTCGGTCTCGTACACAAATCGTTAGGCTCAAGACCATTGAACCAGTATCCAATGATGTTAATGTCTAACTTCCATAGTTCTATAAATGGTTACGCAACCATCTAACCATTGTCTGAGGTAGATACTTGTCACTACTTAACACGGATTGAACTCCACTGATCACTGCTTCTCAACTAGAACTTCAAGTAATCCATCTCAGAGCTAGTCACTAATAAGCACCACATGATGATTATGACTAGAATAAGTTCAACTAATAAACTTATTACAATCTCTATAATCTTCATCCTGATGAAAATAATTATTTGACAATATGACAAGTTAATTAAAAAGAGAATTTTCGATTTTCCTAATATCAATTAAATGACGTCAATCATTTCCATGCCAACTACATGTATGATGTATACATATTGATATTAACTTGGCATTCTCATATTATGCATACAAATTAACGGTTTCATTCAGTTGCTTTGAACAACCTACCCGTTTTATGATATCGATTTGAAATTCACATGATAATCTATCAATAATGAATAAAGATAACTACATTTATAGAAATAATGATTTTCCGATCCAATCATTTCATTCTATGATAGAAAACATTAATGTTTCTTAACGAAAGTGAGATCAATTAGGTTATCTTGTGGTGTGTGTGTGTGTTACTTATATCGATATAAGTAGTATATAGTCATAAATGGAATATCTGGTAGCAGCAGATTTAAATGATCGAGGGGGAAAGAATGGATATGAAGGAATAATGAATTCTGAGATAATTAGTGAACATTTTACAAATGAAATATTTATTGTATGGTTTTCAGATTTTACTAAGATCCCATTGTCCCTACTTGTTCTCTCGTTAACTATACCTTTACTAAGAATTCATTAAATATATTTTGATATGATTTAAAGTTCAAAATGTCTTCTAGAGGTTAAATTTGACATCATAAATGAATGGTAGACCACCATTGAAAACCTGGAAACACTGGACGGTTGTTTCGTCCTAGTATAGGTAGGACTCCTCAACAGAGAGATGAACAAATTAAAACTGGTTAAAGTAACTATAAATATGTTTGAAATAGAATAAAGTAAGATGATTAGAAATTACTTTAAGGAAGCACGGCAAATTAAGGTAACATAATTACACATTGAAATGAATCTGGGAATATGGTCACCAGAAGGAACTCGGCTTTCACCTCGGCGTAATGCGAGGAAAACCAAAGAACACGATACACCGAGGAATGGAGATGGACATGAGAAGAATGAACAAAAATAGGATAGAACTGGAAAGAAACACACAGAACAGAGTGGGTTGGAGAATGCTGGTCGGCGGCCTATGCTCCATTGGGGTTAATAGGCGTAAGTAAGTAAGTAACAGTCACCAGAAGTCATTTTCCAAGAATGTATTTTTATGTGGTTCAAGTGATTTTAAACTGGATGGCTTAATTCGACATTGAGGCAGATAAATATAATTTTCAGATGGAAGTAATTGAAGTTGAAACCGACAAAAATGTTTACAAGGAATGGAACAAAAAGTGATATTAATAGCGTTCGAACTCTAAACACGGCCATGTTTTCAGTCTTCACATGGAATCCACTTGTCAACTGGCATCACTTTTCAGTGTAGTCCATTGTATGAACTTCATGTGATGTTGACAGTTTTCTCATCTACCCATTCTATAGTGTCAAATAAGGTTTCATAAGGTCCTTCTATTCACCCTGTCAACCTCTCCTTCATAGTCAAGGAATTTGACGTATATTGACATCTTCCACTCAGTTGATAGTTTAACAATGATCCTTACTGCCATTATTTGGTATGTGCACAATCGATCCTTACGGAATCCAGTCCGTTGATCTTGAAGTTGGGCGTCTACTGAGTCTCTTATCTGGTTCGGAAACACTCTGTTGACAACGTTTCTTGGTACTGACAGAAATGCGATGCCTCTATAGTTCGCATATTTGCTCACATCTCCTTTCTTTGGTATTTTGATGAAATGTCCTTTTTTCCAGTCGATTGGCACTTGTTCTTCTTCCCAAATATTCCTGAACAGATCATGAAGCATAATTGCAGTTACGTCTATGTTTAACTTCAGTGCTTCATCTGGTTTATTACCAGGTCCTGCTTTCTTCCCGCTCTTGATTTTTCCGATGGCCGTCCACCTTAATTTCTTTAATCATTGGTGGAGTGACATCAATAGGAAGATCTGTTTGTGCTGTTTCGATGTTGGGTGGGTTCAGTGAGGCCGATCTATTCAAGAGTTCTTCAAAGTGTTCTAACCATCTGTTCCTCTGTTCTTCAATCTCAGTCACTGGCTTGTCTGCTTTGTCTTTGATCGGTCTCTCTGGTTTACTATATTTCCCTGCCAGTTTCTTCGTTGTGTCATATATTTGTTTCATATTTCCTTCTTTCGCAGCTTTTTCCACTGTCGTTGCTAGTTCTTCCACATATCTCTGTTTGTCGGTTTTAATGCTCTTCTTCACTAGCTTGTTTGCTTCTATATATTCAGCTCGTGCTTGGACTTTCTCTGCTCGTGTTCGGCTGTTGTTAATTGCTGCCTTCTTGTTCTTCCTTTCTTTGATCTTGTCCAGAGTTTCTATAGAGATCCACTCCTTATGATGGTGTTTCTTTAGGCCCAGAATCTCTTGACACGTTGAAGTTAATGCTTCCTTGATGCCTTTCCAGTTGTCCTCGTTAGTAGTTTCTTCTTCTTTCAGTAGATCTTGTAAGGCTTGGAACCTGTTGTTGAGAGCTATCTTGAATCCATTGAGTTTGACAGTATCTCGAAGTAAGGCTGTATTGAACCTTTGTAGTGCTGTTTGTCCAGTTGTCCAGTTTTTCTCTAGCTTCAGTTTTAAATTGGCTACAACTAGGTGGTGATCTGAAGCTATGTCAGCTCCACTCCTGCTTCTCACATCTTCCATTGTCCTTCGGAATTTTTTATTGATGCATATATGATCTATCTGGTTCTCTGTAGTGTGGTCCGGTGAGATCTATGTAGCCTTGTGTATACGCTTGTGTGGAAATATTGTGCCTCCTATGACCGATTTGTTGAATGCACAAATCTCTCGTTATCTTTTTCCCTTCTCCAAGTAAGTTCATGTCGTTTCATGATATATTGATACCCGGTGTTGTCCATTCCGACTTTGACGTTTAGATCCCCCATCAGGATGGTCAGGTCCTTTCCTAAGTACTTTGCAATGATTGATTGCAGCTTCTCGTAAAACTGATTTTTATAATCTTCGTTGCTATAATTGGTGGGTGTATAACATTGGATAACATTCATTGTGATTCCCTCCTTATTTTTTTGAAGGATGCATGAGATCCCCACCCAATAATTTGGTTTCGCGCGTCTTTGTATAGCATTAGAGCAACTCCCTGAGTGTGTGGAGCATTTTTCCTTTCGTGACCGGAGTTAGGGTTACAAAATCTGGCTTTATACATATATTATTGAGTGTTTATTATTAAGGTTACAATTGACAATTTCATTTCAAATTTGTTCTTTACCGTGAACTTGTATTCGTTAATGAATCCCTAAGAATGAAGGAGAAGTGAATAAATTTATTGTCCTAGACTGTAACTCTCTAGTTATCAGCAGGTATTAGAATACATATGTTCAATCCCTACTCAAAACGGATATATGTATCTAATTTCAGACTCCTTATTATTTAGCGGGAACTATCGTAATGCTTTTACTTACAAGTTT